AAACCTACACTAAAACTCTCGGCGCCTCACTCCTTCGGCTCGTCCCACGCGTCGCGCGTCTTCGGCGCTATTCCTTGGCGCGCGCGGCTTCGCGTGCGCGTGCCCCGCACACGTCGCCCGTCATGCCTAGTTCTCCGCGGATTGGGCCTTGCGCGCCTGTAGCCCACGCGTCGCCTTCCTCGCGCCCCTGCTGGTCACCGACTCCTTCGTGCGCGTGCACATCCGTGGCCAAAACTCCTACGCCCATTAGGTCTCGGCTTTCTCCCGCGCTGCTGTTCCACTCGCGCTCTAATGCGCGCCCGCCGCTACTGCTGTCCAACTCCCGTGCGTCCCCACCACTCTCGCGGGTCTCGCGCACGTCCCCTATGCCCGTGCCGTTCGCGCTGTCGTCCTGCGCCCCGCGCGTTGTCCCCAGCGCCCATGCGTCCCGATCGTTAACTTCGCACCCGCGTACTCCCATTGCTGCCCGCGTGCTGCCAACCTCCATCGCCGATCCCTCCGATGCGCACCATCGTGTGTTGCTCGCGTCGACGTCGTTCACTCTTGCGCCCATTCGACCCCTCGACCCCTTACGCGCATCAAGGTACGATGCGCGTCCTTTGCTCGTGTTCGCACCCTTGTCGCCAACCGACTCCAAGTGCTCGCCCGTTGGCCATGGGTCCCATCCGTCCAACCCAATACAATTACCCACTCGCCAAATCCAACCATCCTCCATTCTACTCTTTCCTCCCCTTCGAGCCACCATCTTGCGAACTCGTCTTTTCCTCGCACAAGGCTTGCACCAACACTTCTCCTCTTTTGTTTTCGCCTTGTGTTTCCTTCGAGTTCTTTTGATCTTGCACCTCTTAGGCTTCAACCCAGCTTTTGGACCACATCCTTTCGGCCAATCCCTTACACATGATGGCCGGTGAATAGGACTAGATGGCTCTTCCAACATGTTTTCCAACCATAAAACGAGATCATTGCCATCATCATTGTCGGACTCACCGGGGTTGATGACCACTTCCGTATCATTCCCCTCCTCTTCGAGACTTTCCTTGTCCTCAAGGATTAAGAAGTTAAGCTCTCTTTCATCCTCATGGCCATTAGCATCGATCACCATTGCTTCTCGGGCTTCCATGAGTTGTCTTTCACGATCCTCCCAATCTCTACGTTCATGGAGCTCCTCCAAAAATTCTTGCTCCCATGCAGTTAATTCCCTTTCCAATCCTTCGAGATACTCAAGATCTTCCAGATCCAACTCATCCAACGGTAACATCATGATTTTTTTTTTGACTCTAAAAAATCGAAAAAATAAATGGGGAAAAATTCAAAAAATTCGAACCCCCAACAAGACTCAAAAAATCGAACAAAAAAAGAAATTCGGCCCCTCAACAAAAGGTAATAACCGAAAAAAAATAACAAAGGACTAACAAGTTGACACTTTTTTTTTTTTTTTAATGAAATTTCGAAAAATTCAAAAATTTCGACTCAAAAAAATAAGAGAAATTCGGCCCCCTCACCAAAAGGTAAAACCGAAAAAAATAAAGATAAGATAGACAAAATCTCGATCAACACCTCTCAATGAAAGCACCAGTGATGACGGATCGATCTTTTGTCTATACTGGGTTGCGAATAAACGACGCACTGAGGCCTTCGTTTATCCCCGATAGATGTATCTAGCAGACGCACTGCGGCCTTCTCCTAGACACCGTGACTTCAAGACGCACTATTGGCCTTCTCTCCGACACTGTATGTAAAGACGCACTAACGGCCTTCTTTATCACACGTTAAGAACACAAGGTTCCCCCTCAAAATTGGCTCACCAATTCAATACTCAATTCAACATGTAAAATATGATGAGGTACATGGGGTATTTATAGATACCAACTATCTCTAGATCTAATCCTACTAGGAAACTAAATAAATAATTAAATATTAAATCCTAAGGCTAGAAAGCAATAAAATCCTAAACCTACCAAAATACTAATGCTTGGCTTGCACACCAAGCAAATCTAGAAGCTCCCTAAAATTAAACCT